TTTTTCACCATCTGGCGTCCCTTTTCTCTTCATTGCCGGTTCTTTCGATTTTAGAAGAGACGGAAAAACATTCGTTTTCTTTTCCGTCTCTATTACGACCCATACTATTTGAACAAACACAGGCAAGGAAGCATAGATTTCTCTGTGTCTCTTATGCATCTGCGCACACAAGGAAGAAGAAGCAGGCAACCAACAATTTCCTCATTTCTACACGATGACGACTTCTTGAATAGACGTCTCCCTGTTACCTTATTTTTTTCTCGATTTTCACTTTATTATTATATACCATGAGGCTCTTACTGAATGAGCCTTTTCTTTTATTTTTTCTCAGAATCAATTCATGGATTTTAATACTTGGAAATAGGTGAGTTTTTTTCAAGGTTTTTAGTATGTGATCCAGTTTATCAATTGGCATAACTGATTTGTAATTTCTAGTATTGTGGACCAATATTGCAATTATGCTCTCAATGTTTGATTCCCACGTAATATCTAGAGACTGGTAGGTTTACAAAACTAAAAAATTTTTCTCGTAAAGAAAATTTCAGAAAATTGTAAGAGATCAAAATTCACAAATTTGAGTACGTTCAGCTCTTCGGAATGATTCAAGCCGTTCTTTTTTTCATCGATGGAGAAATTCTTTTTTGAAACCATCATTCGACTTCACAGCGAAAAGCATCACTCATTCTGCAAAAACTGTACCGGAAGATTCTGGTCAACAAGAAGAGTGGAAAGGTAGATTAGTTCATTTTTACTACAGTTCCCAAACATTGATTTTTTACCAAAGATCAATAGAATACTTCTGCGTCTACCGCTGCTCCATCGATCCCATTTTGGAGGATGGCATTCCGGAAAAATGAATTGAAATTATTTGGAAGAATACCATCTCGTGAAGTGTCCCACTCGATCAACCACTGACCATCAAAATTGCAGAAAATATCCCATTCTTCTTTCTAAATTATTGAATTTGATGTCCAAGCTTTTTCGATTCAATTTTTGTGATCGCTAATTTTTTGCAAATCACAACATTTGTGATTGATTTATTGTATGTATACTGTGATTCTATGAACTTTGTTTTCATATCATACGCAGAAAGTGTTGATCGTCAAAATACTGAGATCATTGTTGATTCAGGAAAGTTTTGGAAGCTGGTGCACGATTCCAGTTTGACCATCTGCGATGCACGGGGAGTGGACGATCTTCAAAAAAATGCAAAAATGAGACGAAGTTGTTCACATTAGATCTGGGATTTCTGATTCCACACCATTCCAGACTGAATTCGAAAATTCCGACATACAGGGTGGCTGAAAAGTATTGAGACACTTGTTATGATGGCTCTTGGCACAGTGCCAAGTCGTATTTTCGAAAAGTTTCGTATTATTTCGAAAATAGGGAGCGTATATAAGCCGACATTAGAGCCATTTCCCATCACTTTATCTCTTCACGAAGTTATGCGAGCTTCTCCTCATCGCCAAACCATTGCCAAGCTGTTCAACGACGGCATCTCCACCGGTGACATCGCTCGAAGACTTCTTCTTCCGAGAGCAACTGTCTATCGAGTTGTGCAACAATTGAAAGATCGAGGACATGTGTTGGAGCTTAAGAAAAGCGGAAGACCTCGTACTGTCAACACTCGCCGGACTCGTGGCATCATCAAGAAGAGAATCACACGAAATGATGCGGTCAGCATGAACCAAATGGCTTCATCGCTCGGAATCTCAAGACAATCGGTTCAATCCATTGTGAAAAAGGACTTGGGTCTGAACAGTTATCGGCTCCTTCGTGGCCAATACCTCACAGAACAGTCCAAGAAGAATCGGCTCGAAAAAGCGAAAAAGTTGCTCGACGCACTCAAGGTGCGCCGCCTCTCTGAAGTCATTTGGACTGATGAGAAAATTTTTACGGTTGAGCCGCTTCCGAACCGACAGAATGCTCGGCAATTGTTGTCAAAGGACGAAGCAAAGTCCCCAAAACGTCGTCTGGCCTACAAGAGACTTTTTCCAAAGTCAATGATGGTGTGGGCTGGATTGACGTCGGAAGGTAAAGTCCCATTGGTTTTCATTGATAGAAATGTGAAAATCAACTCGGATGTGTACCAAAAGTTGGTGTTGATGGATGTTTTACGTCCGTGGGTCACTAGCCACTTTGGCCAGCAACCCTTCATTCTTCAACAAGATTGGGCCCCGTCCCATGGCTCGAAATCCACGAAAGCTGTTCTCGACGCTCATTTCCCTGGCTACTGGGGCAAGGACATGTGGCCCGCTTCCTCGCCCGATCTGAATCCACTCGACTTTTCCGTTTGGGGATATTTGGAGGAAAAGGTGATGGCTCGATCGCACCCAAATGTGGATTCACTGAAGGCCGCTTTGCTCAAAGCATGGGATGATCTTGACGATGACTACCTCCGGCGCACCGTCGCTTCTGTTCCAGCTCGTTTGAAGGCGTGCATCAAGGCCGAAGGCTCGAACTTCGAATATCTCCTCTGATATCTTTTTTATTACTATCATTTGTTGAAAAAATAAATCTGGTTCTTTTGTTGAAACTCCATTTTTGAAAATACAACAAAAAACAAGTGTCTCAATACTTTTCAGCCACCCTGTACATTGAAAATGTTTTTCTAGGCCTGAATATGGCAAGTGTCGTTTGATTCTATCGCATGTTCATGATACTCAACGTGAGCAAACATTCGAGTGATTCGCAGCTCAAAATTTATATTTGACAGTAAAGTAAGAAATATGAATACAATGTCAGGGGTAGGTAGATAAAAGAAATGAGAAATAAATGAAATAGAGTAGAAATCGAAAATTAATCAATAACGCCATTTCCACTTGCCGTACTCATAGTATGCTTCTCCAGAGCACATGGCTTCAAACTTCCAATCGGCCTCAGCCTTTTCCATATCTTCTTTCGTGAATTCTTTGTTTTTCCACGCCTTTTGAAGGTTTTTCTTGATTGCGTCGAGAGAATGCTGCGCTTCTCGGAAACGACTTCTGAAGGAATCCGCATATGATCGATTATGAATGTTTCTTCTGTGCGAATGCATTTTTTGCAAAGTCTTAAACTTTTGGATCTCTTGAGTGCTTGTCGGTCTTTTGTAGAATACTTAGTATTTGGCTGTTTGCTCGTAGTGGTGACTGTTTTGACGTTAGACGTTTTGGAAGTGTCTGAAAAAAAATCGAAAAAGTTTCGTTTTTAATTGATTTCAAAGTTCAAACTATGGAAAAAGTGATCTTGAGACTGGGGAGATTCGAGTTGAGAATGTCAGTTTTTGGTCAGTATAGATCGATTTTCAAAATTTAATAGCTATTGAATAAAAAATAATTACCTTTAGAAGTAGACAATTCGCTAAATCGGGTCGAGCGGCGTTCACGGAGGCGGTTAGTCATGTTGTCTAGGTGATGATGTTGACAGTCTGAAAAGGTTAAATTCGAAATATGTATGGTTGTGATTAATTTCCTCAGTTTGCAATGTTTGTATTTTCTGAAACTGGTTGATCGTATTTTGTTTGTTTGTTTTGATTATTCTATTCTGTTTTGATTATTCTTTTTTATGCTGCCCTTCCTTTTAGTGGTTTGGCAGAATTTCCTCACCTGGAATTTGGACTCGGTTCTTATTAGGCCCGCTGTTGACAGTGTTGAATGATTTACGGCGCTGATTCATGGTTCCTGGTGTTGATTTTCAGAAGATATAACGAAGAAGTTAGTACTGCAAAAAAAAGTATTCACATTTCTGGTAGATTGTGAGAAAAAAAATTCCAAAGTAATAGACGGTGTAAAAACAGTAAGAAACTGAGTGACGGTGATATTTCTTAATTGTTTTTTTTTCTTAGGACATGAGAACGACTGTGTAAAAATTGAAAAAAAGAAACTATCCACTACAATTTTTCCAGACTATCAAATGGGGACTTTTAGAGCTCAGATAAGGCGTGAGATACGGCGTGAGTACCCGAAAAAAATTAATATGAGCAAGCGAAAAACACAAGAATGACACGTCCATAATTGGCGCGCACAACACATGAACCCACCGCCCATATCATTGTTGTTCGTGTGTTCGAGTCTGCTACATATTGCGCGGAGGATAATCATTTTCTTTTTGGTAAATACCGTAAACACTCTAATAGAACGCCACCCGGACCGTCCGTTTTGAGCCTAAATATCTCACTTCTTTTGAAAGAAATCAAAATTTTATCAACTGAAAAATGTTCATCATGATATCAGCAACATTTTAACATTTTACTCCTCTTTTCATAAATAGGAGTACTAATTTAGTTTGCTGTTCATGCCCAATTTTTGGGAAATTAACATTTTAAAAAAGGTTTGTAGTGTTAGGATATAATTATAAAATAATATTATCTAACTTCAACCCCGATATTTGTTGATATTCTATTCACAACTTTGAATTTTTGAACCAATGGTATGTATTCTAGAAAACTAAAGTATTTTGTCCAGAAATCCAAATTTTTCAGTTTATAATAGTTGAGAAAATCAACCTCAAAGTGGTTTACCTATCTCAGAAACTGGTAAATCATTTGAAAAAAATGACTTTCAGCAAACTTTCACGCGTCGATTTATTTTTTGGTATAGAATTCAGTAGATTTTTCGAGAGTATATCTTCAGTTAATGTTTATCGATACGACTTTAAAACAAAAAAATTGCGTTACTTTTGAAATTAGTTTATTATTCCTCTCAAATTTCATTTGTTAAGTATTATTTTAATAAACTAAAAACAAATTCACGTGTTTTTGTAATTACCACCCAGCAGGGTTGCAACCGGCCGGGCCG